GATTATTTAAATAAAAAATTTTTTACATTTCTGTTTTGCTTTTTTTGCTTTTTTTTTTTTTTTACAATTTTCATTTTCTTTTTTCATTCCTTTTTTTAGCATTTTAATTGATAATAATTATATTAATTATTTAAATCAATAAATAATTTTTTTTACATATACATGTTTTCATTACATTTTGAGCAATTTAATTCAGTTAGATAATTTAAATTAACATTTGCTTTTTAATTTTTCCCCCTTTTTTCCCTTTTTTCATTACATTTTAACGTTTTAATTCAATGTGATTATTTTAATTAATAAATAAACTTATTTTTACATGTACATGTTTTCATTACGTTGTTTTAGCATTTTAATTTAGATAGATTTTTACATTAACATTTTTTTTTAGCTAATTCAGTCTGAAAAAATGAATAATAATAATAATAATAATAAATAAATAAAAATTCAATGTACTTTTTTAGCATTTTAATCCCGTTAAATTGTTTTAATAAACTTTTTTTTACATTTACATTTTTCATTACATTTTTATCATTTTAATTCAGTGAGGTAATTTAAATAAACATTTGTTTTATTTTAATTGACATTTTTTTTACTTCATTTTTAGCATTTTAATTGCGTTTCTTCAGTATTTTCCTGTGGCCCTGTGTGTGTGTTGCAGCGATGAAGACACTGACGTGGGCTCTCTCGTGAAGTCGTGGCTGAAGAGGGAGGATGAAGACAACAGGATGAATCTGGAGAACTGGCTCAATGATTATTTCCACAGAGCTCTGGACTGGGCTCTCAAACAGGTCCTGTGACACACAGTCCTGTAACACTAACCGTACATGCTCACAGCATCCTAAACCTCTCTGTTTCTCTGCGCAGAGTGATTTTGTGGTGGACACCAGTCTGGTCGGGACGGTGCTGAACGGTTTGTCCCATCTGAGAGGGGTCAGAGAGCGAGGACAGTTTGTTGTGGGACTCATCCGCGGTTTGGGAGGAAACCTCATGCTCAAATGCCGCCAGGAGTTCGCCAAGGAGGTCAGAGCTGCCCTGATTGTAGATTGTAGAAATGTAATTTCATGCCTGCTCAGCCTTGCCGCCCGTCATTAAATTTAGTAGCCGCTCCCTTAGATTAACGCTTATGACCAGCAGTAATTTAAAACTTGAGTTTTAAAGAAGCAGCAGTGAAACTTTGATGTGAAATGGTCAGGTGTCACAGTCTAGATTTTATGTTGTCCACTCTTAATGTCACTCAAGGTCTCTTCCAGCATTTAGTTTTCAAGATTATTTTCCCTCCTCTCTCTGACCAGTAGAAATACACAGGTGGTTTTGCTAATATACATGTAATACTTCTTCATGTAAATGAGCTGTAAACTTAGTTTAGTTCACATTGCCATGTTATCAGGGCGGGTCAAGATGTTGAACATTGAGTAGGTCAGTGGTTCTCAGCCTGTTTAACTCAAAGAAATAGTTCTTCCAGTAATTCTGCTGTAATCAAAGCTGATTACTCTTTTATTAACACAAACTGGGAGGTATATGAAATTTATCAACCACACACAACCACATTTTGAGAAGTCTGAAGAGCTGTATGTTCTTCTTCAATAAAAACAAGTATTAAAAAAAAAGTTGCTGAGGGGAAAAAATATAAACATGAAATATCATTGCAGTTTATTTTTATTTTTTTACCTTTTTAGATTTTTAATTCAGATTATTTTAATAAAAAATATGTTTAAATTTTTTTGTTACATTTTTTAGCTTTTTAAACAGATTCTTTTAACAAACATTTTTACATGCACTTTTTGTTCATTTTTTGTAGCTTGTTGATTCAGTTAGATATTTGAGAAAATAAATGAATATTTTTACATTTTAATTTTTTAAACATTTTTTCATTACATTTTTAACATTTTAATTCAGTTACATTATTTTAATAAATAAACATAATTATGCATTTGCATTTTTCTACAGTTTTTAAAAACATTTTTAGCATTTTAATTCAGTTAATTATTTTAATAAATAAATAAAATGTGAAATGTGTTACATTTTAAATTTAAATACAATTTTTGAAAAATATTTAATACATATTTTTTACATTTTATATTACATTTGTAGCATTTTAATTCAGTTAATCAAATATTTGTTTTTATGTTTTTTTTCATTACATAATTTTAATGAATGAACGAATGACTAATTGAATAAATAAATAAATGTTTTTCCTGTGGCACCCTTTGAAGTTTGCTAAAGCCCCCAGTTTGAGACCCACTGGAGTAAGTAAGTGTTGATATGTAATGTGGGCAGTCATATGTTAATGAGCCCTTGATTGGCATGTGATCATCATGAAGTTGTGTTTGCAGTCCTGTGTAAGTAAACCTTCAAACAAACATGCAGTCGAGCACATCATGTGTGCTGTGATATTCTAAATGTGTGTTTAGGTTCTGAGTTGGGCCAGAGAAAGTCCTCCTGACCCCCGCAAGCCCCTGGACACGTACTACGACCCCACGTCCGGCCGTCTGTGTGCGTATGAGCTGCAGCGAGGGGACGGTGTGTGTGAGGACGACCTCAGTAACCCACACAATCTCCCCGTCATACACACACCTGACACACAGCGCGGACTCGACCTCTTCACCCCGTGGCTCTCGTCCAATCACAGGCAGCCGTTCCTGCTGGTGGGGCCGGAGGGGTGCGGGAAAGGGTATGACACAAATATAGTTATTATAGTTAACTTAAACTAAAAGTATTTAAAAACATTTTTGGTAAATGAAATGAAGCTGAAATACAATAAAATATAGATGAAAACCTTAAAGTAAATGAAAATCAGAAATTTTGCAACTAATTAAAATATGTTAGTTAAAATTACATTGCATTTAAGGTACATATTTACATTATATACTAGTTCTTGGTTTTACTGGCAAACAAACTCTACTGCTCTACTGTTTGAGCTACAGGAAATTACTGACTGAATATAAGAAAAACAAGTAAAAAAGTAAGATAAAAAGTACAGTAAGTAAAAAAAGTACAGTAAAACTTGAAAAAAAATTAAATACTAATATATAAAAAAATTTAACTAATAAAATTATAAAGGCACAAAAAATTACAAAAAAACCTGAAATTAAAATGAAAACTGAAAATATAAAATGAATTACTATTTCAAAAGTTTAGTAAAAGCCATAAATCAAATTAAAATACACACACACATAAAATGACAGATTAATTCAGACCAGGATTATTATAGTTAACTAAAACTGAAATTATAAAAATAAAATAAACACTAACTTGAAATAAAATATTTTAAAAAAGTTTGTTTTTTTCTCATCTTTCCCGTTTTTTCATTTAGTTTAATTTTCATTTAGTTTAACTTGATGAATTAAAATAACTAAAACTAAAACTGGGGAAAAAACAACAACTATATAGACATATTAAAAAACAAAAACTATTAAATATGGCAAAAAAACATCAAACTACTTTAGTCATTACTAAAACTTTAACTAAAATGAAAGTGAAAATATAAAAACATTCAAAATATTAATAAAAACTATAATAGTATAATAAAAATCTAATGTATACACACACAAAATGACAGATTAATTCAGATGAGGGTTATTATATTTGACGAAAACTACAACCATAAAAAACTTTTTCGTTACTTGAAATAAAACAGACGTTAACTGAAATAAAATATAAAAAATATTTTTAAATCTTAAGCTTATTTCAGCTAGTTGCCAAGACAGCATTTCTCATTTTAATTTAGTTTAACTTGATTTACTAAAATAACTAAAACTAAAAATGAAAAAATAAAAACGTATATAGACGCATAAAAAAAACAAAAAACGAATAAAAACGTTAAAAACAAACAAAATTACTAAAACTTTAACTAAAATGAAAGTGAAAATATAAAATATAAAAATTAAAAGTAAATCAAATGACTAATTGAAAGGATAATAGTATTTGAATGATCCTAAAACAGCAGTGATTGAGACTGTGCTCTGTGTGTCAGGATGCTCCTGCGCTGCTCGTTCTCTCAGCTGCGCTCCACACAGGTGGCTGTGGTGCACTGCAGCGCTGAGACCTCCTCCCGTCACATCCTGCAGAAACTCTCGCACACCTGTCTGGTCATCAGCTCCAACACGGGACGCGTGTACCGACCCAAAGACTGCGAGAGGCTGGTGCTGTACCTCAAAGACATCAACCTGCCCAAACCCGACAAGTGGGGCACCAGCAACCTCATCGCCTTCCTGCAGCAGGTCACATGCCACACTGTTTTTAGTGCAAATCAAGGTTTCTTGTGTCATTTTAGTTTCTCACAGTCTTCTTCCACAGGTCTTGACATATCAGGGCTTCTATGATGAGAACCTGGAGTGGGTCGGACTGGAGAACATTCAGATTGTGGCGTCCATGTCAGCAGGCGGCGCTGTGGGCCGGCACACACTCACGTCACGCTTCACCTCGATCGTGCGGATTTGCACCATTGAGTGAGTACTGATGTACACACACACACTCAAACTCACACACACACACACACACACACACACTCACACACACACACACACACACACACACTCACACACACACACACACACACACACACTCACACACACACACACACACACACACACTCACACACACACACACACACACACACACTCACACACACACACACACACACACACACTCACACACACACACACACACACACACACTCAAACACACACACACACACACACACACACTAATCCATCTCTCCTGTAGTTATCCAGACAGAGAGCAGCTGCAGACCATCTACAGCGCATACCTGAAACCTGTGCTGCAAAGGACTCTGGGTAATGATCCAACCTGGAGCTCTGCAGGGAAGATCCACCAGCTTGCCGGCTCATTGGTGCAGGTGTACGAACAGGTCAGATCTGATTGCTCATTTAAAAGTGTCTGTGTTTGATGTCTGTGTAAAGGTTTGCAGTTATTAGATTTTTGAATAAAGTCTTTTCTGCTCACCAAGGCTGCGTTTATTTGATCAAAATACAGTAAAAAATTTGGAAATATTATTGCAGTTTAAAATAACTGTTTTCTATGTGAATATATTGTAAAATGTAATTTATTGCTGTGATCAAAGCTGAATTTTCAGCATCATTACTCCAGTCTTCAGTGTCACATGATCTTCAGAAATCATTCTAATATGCTGATTTGCTGCTCAAGAAACATTTCTGATTATTATCAGTGTTGAAAACAGTTGTGCTGCCCAATATTTTTGTAGAAAACCGTGATAAATTTTTTTATTTGATGAGCAGAAGGTTAAAAGTAGTTATCAGATAGCTAAAAGTAAAACCATGAAAAATACATTTTATTACTTGAAATGAACATTAGCTGAAATAAAATAAAAAACCCTCAAACTTATTTCATTTAATTTATTTCAACATTTCTCATTTTAATTTAGTTTAACGTGAAGTAACTTAAACTAAATAAACTAAAAGTAATATATAAAAGTTAATAAAAAACTATATAGACATATTAAAAAAACCTAACCCTAACCCTAACTAATAAAAATGGCACACATCAAAATTACTAAAACTTTAATTAAAATTAAAGTGAAAACAGAAAATATAAAAATAAAAATCTAATTAAAAATATTACCAAAAACTCTTAATAGTGTATCAATGATACTAAAATAACCCTGTTTCCAAAGAGCAGAATTTATTTGAAACAGAATTTTTCTGTAACATTATAAATGTCTTTACTATCACTTTTGATCAATTTAATGCATCACTGATGAATAAAAATATTGATTTCTTCAAAAGAATGGTAGTGTGTGTTTTGACTGGTGTGTGTTTGTGTTTCAGGTGAAGGCTAAATTCTCCGTTGATGATCACAGTCATTATCTCTTCACCCCATGTTTGCTCACACAGTGGGTCCTGAATCTGCTGCGATACGACCTGAGCGCAGGTGAACTCAATGCATTCATTAAACCAACACAATTCACTAACACATCCCAAAACTGCCATCTCAGTGTCCCCAAAAACATAGTATTGAAAGAAGCCATGGGCTCTGTTCCAAATGTTAGTGAACATCCTCACGGTCCTCATGGTCCTTCTAAGGCAGCGCACCGAACTAAATCCTCACAAGTCAGCGATCTGAAACGTTTTAAAGGGCAGCAGGTCCAGTTACGGTGCGTGACGTCAAGCTCACAGCTTTACTTTCACGTTTATGCATATAGCAGATGATTTTATTGTCAATGCATTCTTATAGCTCATACAGTAAAGCATGGCACTAACAACGGCAAATTCATGGGTTCAGTTCCCAGGCAATGCATGAACTGATAAAATGTGTACCTTGAATGTAATGCAGATTGCTTTTGATAAAAGCATCAGCTCAATGTATACATGCAAACATGCAATGCATTCATGCAAATGCATTTTCACTATTGAGTGAATCATTTATAATCTTTTGGAATGGTCTTCCTGTCAGAAGTACATCCAAGATGCCCTAAAATGTTGTCTAGGTAGGCAGCTCACTACGTTTTGGAGCTGTTAACCTGTATAGTGACTGAATAATGTCTTATTTCACATGCAAAGGTGTCTTTAAAGGTTTTGATTTATGGATACTGATTAGAATTAGCTTAATTCATAAACAGTAGAAGTCTATGAGGTTCTCACTATGATAAAAAACACATTTTTGGTTTGTGTGTGTGTGTGTGTGTGTGTGTACAGGTAAATCCGCTGTAGATTCAGTCCTTGAGGTGGTGGCGTATGAAGCCCGGCGTCTGTTCAGGGACCGTATCGTGTCCTCTAAAGATCTGAATGTGTTTGAAAACATCCTGTCCTCCGTCATCAGAGGCGACTGGGGCTCGGATGCACTCGACAACATGACAGGTCACACACACTCACACTTAATGCTTTTATTCACCAAATATGCATTAAATTGTTTAAAAGTGACAGTAAAGAAATGTATAATTTCACAAAAGATTTCTATCTCAAATAAATGCTGTTCTTTTAAACTTTGTTCATCAGAGAATCCTGAAAAATAAAATGTAAATATGAACTGTTTTCAACATTGATAATAATCAGAAATGTTTGTTGAGCAGCAAATCAGCATATTAGAATGATTTCTGAAGATCATGTGATACTGAAGACTGGAGTAATGATGCTGAAAATTCAGATTTGATCACAGAAATAAATTACATTTGACTGTTTATTCACATAGAAAACAGCAATTTTAAACTGTAATAATATTTCACAATTTTATAAACTTGATCCTTTGATTGTTCATTTGTGTGTTGTGATTTACTACAGATATGTACTTTGTCACGTGGGCCGCGCCTCATGAGGGCCGTTCTCCTGGTCAGCCGCTCCCACCTCACGGCAAACCGCTCGGACGTCTCAACGCCAATGACCTCAGTGAGATTATACACAAGGTAAGACAAGAAATAAAATGATAACACATATTCATAGTTACAAGTGTTTGCTAAAGCTAATGTCACTGTTACTAAAGGTTGGAGATGGTATATAATTCTTCAATCATTACAAATAATTATATTTAATAAATTTAAAAATTGTATTAGTTATTATTTTATTTATTTTATTAATCTGATTAATTAAATTAAATAATAATCTCATTCTTTTAATTACGCTTTTATCTTGCAAATTTTAGTAATTGTATTAATTATTATTTAATTTCATTTATTGCATTTGATTTAAAGGGATAGTTCACCCAAAAATGAAAATTAGCCCATAAGTCATATACACCTAGGATGCCTTGAGGGTGAGTAATTCATGGGCTAATTTTCATTTTTGGGTGAACTATCCCTTTAAATAATTTAATTTAATTCAGCTCATTATCTTGTTTTGTTTGCTGTTTTATTTATTTAATTAATTTTATTAAATTTTATCTAAATAATTTATTTTACTTCATTATCTTGTTTTGTATTTATTTTATTAATTTATTAAATTAAACAATGATTTCATTTATTTAATTATGCTTCTAATTGTATTAATTATTATATTTTAATGTATTAAATTTGATTTAAATAATTTAGCTCATTATCTTGTTTTGTTTTTGTTTTTTGTTTTATTAATTTGATTCTTTTTTTCATTACTGTCTCATCAGGGAATAGTTCTGTACGGCCGTGATAACCGTGAGCTGGACATCCTGTTGTTTCCGGAGGTTCTGGACTACATGTGTCGAGTGGATCGTGTCCTGAGCTCTCCTGGCGGGTCGCTGCTGCTGGCAGGTCGTAGCGGCGTCGGCCGGCGTACAGCTACATGCGTGGTCAGCCACATGCACGGGGCGTCTCTCTTCACCCCCAAAATCTCCCGCTCGTACTCACTGAAGCACTTCAAATCTGACCTGAAGACTGTGAGTCTCTGTCCATCCTCACTCTCTCTGCGCTAATAACACGAGGCTCTCGCTCAAACTCTCTTTCTCTGTCTGTAGGTCATGCAGTCGGCCGCTGTGGATGGACAGCAGGTTGTTCTGTTGCTGGAAGATCATCAGTTTGTTCATCCTTCCTTCCTGGAAATGGTCAACAGTCTGTTGTCCTCAGGTCAGTTATTATCCATTTTATCAAAATACTTTGCTTCAAGCTGTTTGCTACATACAGTGTCATTCGTACATTATATTTTATGTTCGTAACAGGTGAAGTTCCGGGTTTGTACTCCACTGAAGAGTTGGAGCCTCTTCTGTCATCTCTGAAAGATCAGGCATCACAGGATGGATTCACCGGGCCAGTTCTTAACTATTTCTCCCACCGTAAGTACTCACACACACACACACACACACACACACTATTGCTTTGATGTTTCATAAAATATCTTGACAATCACATTTTGCTTTTCCGTATTGATGTATTTCATATTGCAACGTTCCTATTGCTCATATGATGACGAGCACAACCAAGGTCATGAACTGATAAATTGCATACCATGAATGCAATATAAAGTCTCTGTGGATAAACGCATCTGTCATATGCATAACTATAAATGTTTAGGTATGAGACATTGGCTATATATTATTCTTTGATCATTATGTTTTAATAAATTTGATAATTTAATTAAATATTATTGTATTTTTTATTGTTAAATTTGATTTTATTGTTACATTTAATTACAAATATTTAATTTTATTGTTTTATATTATTTATTAATATATGCCTTTAATGCAATATAGGTCATTTTGGATAAAAGCATCTGTCAAATGCATAAATGTAAATGTTTAGGTGGGAGACATTGCTTTTTAACTAATCTTATATTACATTATATAATTCTATTCATTATTGTTTTATTTAATTTATTACATTTGATAAATGTATTTATTATTTTATTTTATTTTCAATATAGGTGTCTTTGGATAAAATCGTCTGGCAAATGCATAAATGTAAATATTCGGGTGGAAGAAGTTGCTTTCCTTTTCTTTCTTTTTTTTTTTCCAAATAAATGTCAATAGACTTTAATTTACATCATATTTAATTCTTACATATTTAATATTTTATTTTAAATACTCTAGTCAGAGGCTGATTGTGGTCTCCAAACCAAAATTGGTATACAGGTGCAAGATGTCATTATTTTTGGTCCATTTTCTCAGGAGAGCAAGACTAAAATATATTTTAAAATGTGTAAATCTGCTAAAAGTTTATGTTGTCTTTCTGTTGAACATAAAGATTACTCCAAAGCTAATAAACAAGCACTAAAACCTGCCGCCAAACTAATACTTTCATCATGTGTGTGTTTGTGTGAGTATTGGCATGGTTAATTAAAACCAAAAAAGAAATTGTTTTTCTTAATTGAAATAAAGCTGAAATAAAAAAAATATAAATATTAGATGAAAAACTTAAACTTAAATGAAAATTTTAAATGTTGCCTGAAATAAAATGTGTAAGTTGAAGGATTAAAATCATTAAAACTAAAACTGAATTAAAATTAATTCTAAAAATAAAAAAATAAAATAAATACAAAACTAAAAATGACAAATAATGAATTTACTAAAACTAAAATGATAACAAACTGAAAGTATAAAAATAAAAGCTAATTAAATGATATAGAAATAACCCTGTTTTGTGTGTGTTTGTGCAGGCGTTCAGCAGAACCTCCATGTGGTTTTGATCCTGGACTGCACTAACGAGCACTTCACCATTAACTGTGAGAGTAACCCCGCCCTCTACAGGAAGTGCTCAGTCCAGTGGATGGAGGGCTGGTCTGACAGCAGCATGAAGAAGGTGAGCGACGTTTGAGTCACAGCTTATTCATTTAGCACCATCTCTATGATCATGTGACTCTCCGTTAGATCCCAGAGATGCTGCTGTCAAGGATGGAAGGAGAAGACGAGAAAGATGGAGGCAAACAGAAGAAGGAGAAGAAATCTGGTACGATGTTGAAGAGAAGTGTGTGTAGTTTTAGTATGGCTGTACGTGGATGTTAAACTGCTCTGTGATTGGTTGTGTTTCAGGATCTGTGCACGCAGAGCTCTATCGCTCCTTCCTGGCGATTCACGAGTCATGTCGGGAATTCAGCGCCACACCTAGTCAATACCTGAGCTTCCTGCAGGTGTACCAGACCATCTACAGCTCCAAACGGAAAGAGCTGACCCATAAACAGCAGCACCTACAGGTCAACCCCGTCACTGATGAAGACGAGTTTAAATTCACAATGAACACACATGCTAATAGGGATGTAATGATTCACTCGACTCTCGATTCGATTCACGATTAAAGACAGTAAGTTCCCCTCAGACATACATTCATATAAACTCCTACACCTAACTGAATCGAGATTTGTTTGGCATCTCAACCGATTTGAATCGTCACGTTTGAATTGATTTCTGTACTCATGTGACCGCAGGCGGGCGTGGCCAAGCTGAATGAAGCGAAGGCATTGGTGGATGAGCTAAAGAGGCGGGCGGCCGAGCAGAGCAGCTTACTGAAGACCAAACAGGCCGAGGCGGACGCCGCCCTGCAGGAAATCACCACATCGATGCAGGTGTGTGTGTGTGTTCGAGATGCGTGTGGAAACGAACACGCAGCGTGAAGTGTATTTACATGTGGTGCGTTTCAGAACGCCAGCGACCAGAAGACAGAGATGGAGAAGATCAAAGAGAGAATGGCACACGAGGTCTCCAAGATTGAAGAGAGGAAGAAGAAAATAGACGAGGAGCTCCGAGAGGTTCAGGTGAGCACGACTAAACACTCCTGTCTGGTTGAGCTGAGCCATTATCAGTCAACCAAAACTAAAAGTAAAACCATAAAACAAAATAAAGGTTAACTGAAATAAAATTAAATATTAAAAAATATATATTTCAGCTTTTATTTCAGCATGTTGCCAGCATGTACCAAAATAACTGAAACTAATAAATAAAAACGAATAAAAAAATTTATAGACATTTTAAAAAAGAAGACGGATAAAAATGACAAAAACACAACAAAATTAATAAAACTTCAGCTAAAATTAAAGTGAAAATTTGTTTGAAAAAAAAAAAAATAATAATTTTGATAATTAATATTTAATAATATTTAAAATAATGTAATATAGTGTTGTCAAAAGGCCCGGTACTTCGGTACCAAGTTGGTACTAAAAAAATGAAAACGTTACGGTACCAGGTTTTTTTAAGTACCGGTGGTACCGAGTACCCGGTTAACCTGGTTCTTGATGCGCTATCCGAAAGGTGCGCAGATTAGGGCTGCACGATTAATCGAATGCGATTGTCATGCGCATTTTGATAGTAATGCAGGTTCTGTAATCAGCAGGAAATCATCATCACGTGCTTTCAGATTGAGCAGAATTTACTACACATAGACGTAGTTCACTGACAAGTTCAGAGAACCGTGGATTTTCACTGGTATTGGTACCGAATACTGAAATGTTGGTACCGTGACAACACTATATATTCTTTAAATATTTAATAATATAATATTTTTAAAATATTGTAATGTTTAATAATAATAATATATTTATAAATAAAAATAATATATTTTTATATGAATCTGATCACATAGATCTGTCCTCATCCAGGATTATTATAGTTTTTTTTAACTGTTTTATATTTAATAGTATTTAAAATAATGCATTCATATTTACATTTTTAAATTTTTTTTCTTTCAGTTTGCACTTTTAATTTATTCTTCATTGGTGTTGACTATATCACTGTTAATTTTAGTTTTTAATTTTATTTAGCTTTTATTTTAGTTTTTTATATCTGCCAAAGTTAGTGCATTAATTGATAGAATTTAAACAAATCTTTAACAATATTAAATGTATCAGGGCTGTCGAGTCATCTCTTGTGGCATTTTAATTCATTTGAATTAATTTTAGTTTTGAAGTCATGAAGTGTATTTTATTTTCAGTTTGAGATTTTTTTCCCCCCATGTTTTTATTTAATCTGTGTTTCATTTTTTTTTATAACATCAGTCCTGATCGTATGAACACACAGTTGTCTGTCTGGTGTTTTTAAAACTCACATAAAACATGTTCTTTGTGTGTGTGTTGTGTGTTTATGTGTGCTCAGCCCCTGGTGGACGAGGCAAAGCAGGCGGTGGGGAACATTAAACCGGAGTCCCTGTCTGAGATCCGCTCGCTGCGCATGCCGCCTGACGTCATCAGAGACATCCTGGAGGGGGTGCTGAGGCTCATGGGAATATTTGACACGTCCTGGGTCAGCATGAAGAGGTGAGAGAGACAGACGGTGATGGGAGTGGGAGCCGCTCTGTCATCATTCATGCTTTATATTAGCCTCTAACAGCCGTAACCGAATGAATTCTGCCTTTATTTATGGTGTTTATCTCTTGCCGGGAAATTAAACTGTCATACTGCTTATTACACCTTCACACTCTTCAGGCTAAATTAATCCAATCTCATTCTAGACTAATTAATGCTTTTAATTTAGCACATTTTCATTGCAAATAGGCGTGCGGAGACGTTAGGTCATTTGCTTTTGGTTAAAAACATTAAATTAGTTGAATAATTGAAGAGCTAATGGAGTGTTTATAAACGGCAGTTTCTTAGCCAAGCGAGGAGTGAGGGAAGACATCGCCACGTTTGACGTGCGCAGTATCACTCACGAAATACGACAGAGCGTCGAGGAGCTGCTGCAGAGAAACAAGGCATCGTTTGACCCCAAGGTCAGACACACACACACACACACGATACAAAACTCAATTTCACATTGTACATACAGACCTAATTTATGCTGAAAATTACACTTTTTGCACTACTTGGGTGAATCTCACAAAAACTGTTAAAAACATGTAATTTTGAATTAATTATTTAATGCAGTGTAATGCATTTCTCCACCATTTCTTTTCACTTGGCACACATCAACAGTTTTCTAAGTGTAATATATACTGTATATATGTGTGTGTGTGTGTGTTTTATAATACTATTAAAATATAAATAGCAGAATTAAATTATATATACAGTGCTGTGAAAAAGTTTTTGCCCCCTTCCTGTTTTTTTAATTGTTTGCATATTTGTCACACTTAAAAGATTCAGATCATCAAACTAATTTTAATATTACACGAAGATAACATGAGTAAATACAAACTGCAGTTTTGAAATTATGATTTCATCGTAATATTAAAATTGGTTTGATGATCTGAATCTTTTAAGTGTGATTTAAAGTGGGAAAAAAAAAAAAAAAAAAAAAAAACCGGAAGGGGGCAAAAACCTTTTCACGGCACTGTATATATATATATATATACACACACACACACAAATATTTTTTTAATGCAATTAAATTAAAATTATATAGATAGATAGATAGATAGATATAGATATACATGTAATAAAATTTTTTTGTAAAAAGTAATAAAAGTATTGGTACGTATTGTCTATTGAACTGTCTTTGAATTTAATTTGCATGAATTCAGTTTACATTTATATAAAAAAATGAAATTGTAAAAGAAAAACAGTAAAAAAAAAAAAATTCTAATAGAGTAATGAGACTCTAATTAGAATCTCAATTAATGAAAAAAAAAAAAACGTAGTGTTGTTTTGTAATGAGAATTTATTCAAATGCATTCATGTTTAATATAAAAAAAAAAAAAACCGGAAGGGGGCAAAAACCTTTTCACGGCACTGTATATATATATATATATACACACACACACACAAATATTTTTTTAATGCAATTAAATTAAAATTATATAGATAGATAGATAGATAGATATAGATATACATGTAATAAAATTTTTTTGTAAAAAGTAATAAAAGTATTGGTACGTATTGTCTATTGAACTGTCTTTGAATTTAATTTGCATGAATTCAGTTTACATTTATATAAAAAAATGAAATTGTAAAAGAAAAACAGTAAAAAAAAAAAAATTCTAATAGAGTAATGAGACTCTAATTAGAATCTCAATTAATGAAAAAAAAAAAAACGTAGTGTTGTTTTGTAATGAGAATTTATTCAAATGCATTCATGTTTAATATACAAATGTATTTTTATTTTTTATTTTGATTGCAGGGGAAAATTTAAAGGGATAGTTCACCCAAAAATGAATTCTGTCATCATTTACTCACCATCAATGAATTTCTTTCTTCTGCTGAACACAAAATAAGATATTTTGATGAATGTTAGTAACCAAACAGTTTCTGGTCCCCATTGATTTCCATAGTATTTTTTTTTTCATATTATGGAAGTCAATGGGGACCAACAACTGTTTGGTTACTAACATTCAAAAAAAGAAACTCGTACAGGTTTGGAACAATTTGAGGGTGAGAAAATGTTGACAGAACCTTCATTTTTGGGTGAACTATCCCTTTAATCCAGAAATGTGTACATGAGATTCACACATATTCGATTTAAAATAAAATAATATTCATGCCCTGTAGTCATAAATAACGCTTTTCAGAAAGGTTCATCCAACTAACACTCAAACTCAACAACACTTTACGGTGAACGGTCATCTAACATCACTGTTTTGTTGCAGAACGCCAAGCGCGCGAGTGCAGCCGCCGCTCCTCTGGCCGCGTGGGTGAAGGCCAACGTCCAGTACTCTCACGTTCTGGAGAAGATCCAGCCGCTGGAGACGGAGCACGCCCGACTGATGGAGTCAGTACACACATCAGCAAAGCTCTGCTCACAGCGAGATTCTCGCTCTCACACTGTGTCTCTGTGTTCTGTCCAGAAACCTGCGGAAGACGGAGAACCGTAAGAACAGGCTGGAAAAAGAGCTGAACTCTGTAGGAGAGAAAGTTCTGGAGCTGAAGGAGAAGTAAGACACTTGATTCCGAGTTTGATATTAGCATTTGGCTAAACTAGAACACAATCTTTTATTTGAAAGTTTTCATGCACTCAAAATAATCCACTTTTAATTATATTACTAAGATTATAGATTATTTTTATTATATTATTTTATTTTAATTTTTTATTTAGTTTAATAAGACTTTATTGAAACTTTCAATTGAAACATTTTAATTATATTTTTATCAGTTTTATTTTAATTTCTTTTTGTTTTATTTTATTTAGTTTAAGACTACTTATACACACATTAATAAGTTAAAACAGTGACGAAATCAGCACACTTGTGCTGTCACATGTCAGTCAAACAGATAGTCCCGCCTCCAAACTCACGTCATTGGTCAGAAGTTGACACGTCACGCCACTCAAACTAACAGATCAATGTTTTGTGAAAATGTCGCAGTGTTTCACTCTTTAGTAAGTCACAATACTAATTACTGACTTATTGTGACTCTGAACATTACACAGACACCACAAACTCGGTGAACATCCAGAAAATGACACAGCTTTAACAGGCAGACAGAAATCTTTGACCAATCAGGGAACAGTGTTTTTAGTATTATTTATATTATAATATTTATCTGTTATATATATTTAAAATATTTAGCTGTTCATTTTATATTTCCAGGTATTGTTTTAATTTTAGTTTTGTAATTTTGTTGTGATTTATATATATATTTTTTTACTTAGCTTTATTTTTATTTCAGTTTATTTTTAGTTGTTTTTGTACTATAAAACTTAAACTTAAAAAAACTTCACCTAACTGAAATAAAATAAGTCTTTCATCTGATATTTACATTTTATTTCACCTTTATTTTGATAACCTACTTTTGCGAACTACTAGGTTTTTCGCCCAATCGGAACCAAACCAGTGCAGAAAGATTCTCTGGACAGTGCTTTTTTTAAATTACCAAAAAAAAAAAAAAAAAAGATTTTAAGTGTTGAAAGTTGAAGTTTTTCGTCTAATATATTTTATTTTATGTCACTGACCAAGAAAAAAAAAAGTAATGTATTTAATTTTAGTTTTAGTTAACAATAACAACACTGTCAGTAAACAGGAACACATGAACCAATCAATAAACACACAACATGTGACTTTGAAAACTTGTATGAGTATGTTTGCCGTGATTTTGAACTCTTCCTCTGATTGGCCGAGGCTTTAACAGCTGTGTTCTCTGATTGGCAGAGTTCGATCTGCGTCACTTCCTGTGTTCTGAGAGTGAGCAGCTGATCTGGAAGAGCGAAGGCTTGCCGTCTGACGACCTGTCGATGGAGAACGCTCTGGTCATCCTGCAGGTAACACACACACACACACACAGACCGCTCTGTTCATCGGTGTTCCCAGCGTTCACTCATTCATCTGTCTGTCCTCATGCTGACATCAGATTAATGAAATCAGGTCACGGGTAAGATTACACACATGGATGTTTACTTAGAAGTCTTCACTTTCCGTACTTTTCTATACTATACTATACTGTACTATACTATACTATCAACTAGTCCTAACTCAGCTTTAACCCACCCAAACCCCAGAGGCCTGTTCACATCAGGAGACATCTGACAAAGAGCCACAAATTCCACATCAAAACTATGTCACACATGCATATTTGATCCATCATGCTTTTATGGCTCATGTAGTCTGATGTAGTGAGAATATGGAGGAAAAACAGCTCAGTTTTATTCAGAGACTCAAACTGAGCAAAAATATGCAATTTAGTGCAGATGCTGATATTTATATGATGAAATTCTGATGCTTGTGATGTAAATCAGTAAGATCTTTATAACAGTTCAGCAGATACTGACATAAAATGATCTAAATATCAGTTGTCGCTCTATATCTCCAATAATATGATGAGATTGAAATGATTCAAACATATAATGCAGTGATTGAGAGCTGAAGAAATAAAGGCTCCTCAGAAGATGTGAGATGTTCTGGAGGCTTGTGAAGATCATTCCTCCGCTGAGGAACAGTGAAAGTAAAGCTTCTGGAAACAAACGCTCCTCAAAAGATCCTGAGGATCAGATTTGAGACTCTAAAACATGATTGATGGAGAATCAAGTAAAGCCCAGCTGCTTCAGTCCAGTAAGTGTTCATCTGGAGATATTACTGCAGTTATTCTGACCTTTACTTGATCAAAATCAGTCAGGATTTGACACGAGAAGCACCAGCTGAAGCTGGACGTTTCTACAATTACACTAAAATAGCTTTTACACTAAAAGCTTTTTTTGTAAAATTGTAAAAGCTTACAATTACACTAAAATTTTTACTGGATAAAAAAACTCTAAACTCTCAATCAGACGACAGAAGACATGGAGTAGATTGTGTTTTTCAGCAAAGTTTTGATCTTGCTGATCATTTAGAGGCCTTAGAAATTTGCGTATCAAATATGATACAGTAGGCTTTATTGGATGAATCAAAAATAAATGCACACAAGACCAGTAACATGCATTAAGAAAATAAATGGGAACATTTTTATCTTTAAAGCAAAAATAAAACATCTTGTCATATGTGGAAAGGAACTTGCTTCTTATTGATCTGTGAGTTTATATAGCAAAACCTGACTTAAACAACGGAAAAAATGGGACTTGATCGCAAGCAGAGTTTCATTGTGTGAACAGGCCTTAAAATAAAACTGTTGCTGTGAACGTCTTATTAACTACGTCTTAATTTTTGAAACATTTCCCCTTGTATAGCTGATTTTTTGGGATGTATGATCTCATCTGAACTGACTGAACCCTTTGACGTGTGTGTGAGAAGTTTATAATTAGCGTTCTTATGGAGTCTGGTTTCTATGGCGACCCACTGTGATGTTGCTAGGAGAACGAGTGAAACAAAAGAACAGGAAATAGAATCTGATGAAAGCTGTCAGGAACACGTCTGCACATAACAAATTATATTTTGCATAAAGAAATCAAGTTTAAGATTGAATGAATTCCGACATTATTTTTAGGGCAAACGCATTTTCTCTCCAGTTTCTCATTGTTTGGGTTGAATATGATCTAGATATGTTCCTGACAGGTTCCTGATCTGGTTTTGTGGGAGGTATACTGTCACTGTTTGTGATTTATCTCATAATTAATAAATACATAATCTTCTCTTCTTTTCTCTAGAGTGCTTCTTGTCCATTCTTGATCGATCCGTCCTCTCGTGCGACAGAGTGGTTGCGAACTCATCTGAAAGCGCATCGTCTGGAGGTCATAAACCAACAGGTAAAAACACACCGTCTGGGCTGCGTGTCAGAACTGTAATACTATATCCCACAATGCAGTGTACGCGCTATTCAATTCCAATTCAGTTTTCATTTTCCAATTTTAGTTACATTTGCAATTTTCAATTTTAGTTTCCAACTCATTTTGGTATTGTTTTGGCAAATATTAAGACGTTTTTTTTTTTTTTTTACACAAAATTTGATTAATAATATAAAATAAACATTTATTTTATTTATTTTATGTCATGTCATGTCAGAACCCCTGAAGCCACTCATGTCCATGCTTATTTGATCTGGTTCTCTGTCTCAGGATGCTAACTTCATGACGGTGTTGGAGTTAGCCGTGCGCTTCGGTAAGACTTTGATCATTCAGGAGATGGACGGCGTTGAACCCGTGCTGTACCCGCTGCTGCGGCGAGATCTTATCGCACAGGGTGAGTACTAGGCTTGCTGCGATAGACGGTGTTTTCGGTTATACCGGTGTTAAGCTGCAACACCGGATACGTCATTTGCCTACCGCGGCACCGCCCGCCCCCCCCCCCACCCCCACCGTCGTTTTGATTTTTTTTATAGTAACAAAAATCAATTAGCTTAGTTCAGTTAGAGGACAGACACTTTAAAAAACTAAACACTCAATGCAGCGTGCCGAACCATGCGCGAACAACAGTGAACCACGGAGCAGGAGTCAGATTTGATTTATCACGTGAGGAGAGTGAGTCGAGCTGACTGACAAGAGAGAGGTGAGAAAGACGAGACGATGGCAGAAGATTGTTTAGAAAGGAAATGCAAAGGTGCCTGTTTGGCAATATTTTAGATTTTGAAAAGCCTATTGACTGGAAGTTTTTTTTAAACATTCGTTTCTTATTTATTTCGTTCCACAGTGTTTTACCTATTTAAACTTTGTGTAGCCCAAGTAATTTGTTATTTTATTAGCCATATATGGTGTATTTTTATTCGTTTTGTTAATAAACGTTCTATGAGTTTGACGTTGTTGTTGCTTGAATTGAATCAATGCCGAATTGCCGCTAATTTGAAAGTGAAAGTAAAACGCGCACGGTGCTTTTTCAAGCTATTTGAAAGCCAAGAAATCCGAAGAAAAGAGGGAAACTCAAACGAACTAACACCCCCCACCCCAACAGTGATACCGGTACATTACCTGTGTTGTCACACGTCGATTAACCGGTGGGAAAATTTCCTCACCGTCACAACCCTAGTGAGCACACTAAATCTGTATCAAATAATAGCAATAATAATAGTCAGAATTTAGTGCAATAAAATACACATTTGACAGTAAATCAGTGGTTTTGATTTGAGATGCAGATGTTAATTATTCATATTAACATCAGTTACAGTTGTGAAATGCTAACAGATTATTTATACAGTTCACATATTTGGCCACTGTTTTCTTTAAACGGTTTTCAGATACTGAAAGTAACCTAAATTTTGCAGTCTAATTCAAATATTAATTTGCAAACGCAAAATTTCAGCACATGCATTGAATCCGATTGAGAAAGCAGTCAGATTTGGTTTACATGGCTAATATTTTGCCATTTAACAGATTATCTCCACCATCCCTTCATTTGGATTGAGTTCAGTCGGATTGATTGAGGTGTTTACATGCAGGCTTTTCAGTCATTATTAACGGATTATTAGGTTGCATATAAACATAGCCAACGATAGAAGTTCAGTCACCTCAGGGAGTTTCTGAAGGCAAACAATGCCAGATTTACACAGGAACTAAAACTGACATACATCTTGGTCCAAAAATACACTAAAAATTGTGAAATATTATTACAATTCAAAATAACTGTTTTCTATGTGAATATATAGTAAAAATGTAATTTATTTCTGTGATCAAAGCTGAATTTTCAGCACCATTACTCCAGTCTTCAGTGTCACATGATCTTCAGAAATCATTCTAATATGCTGATTTGCTGCTCGAGAAACATTTCTGATTATTAGCAATGTTGAAAACAGTTGTGCTGCTGAATATTTTTGTGGAAACCGTGATACATTTAATTTTTCAGGATTCACAGATGAATAGAAAGTTCAAAAGAACAGCATTTATTTGAAATTGAAATTATTTGTAACATTATAAATGTCTTTACTGGCACCTTTTATTAATTTAATGTATCATTGCTGAATGAAAAGATTAATTACTTAAAAAAAAATCATATTGATCACAAACTTTAGAATGGGAGTGTTTGTTCTGATTGGTTGTGATTTTGTCATTTCACTATGATTTAACTTTCAGTGAGAACAGAATAATTAATTGACGCTGGAAACGTGTCGTGTCACACATGAACGCGAAGTTAGATGCTCCTTTAGGAAACACACGCACACACACACACACACTGCGCTTGTAGTATGTTTATCCTCCTGACCCAGCTGTGTGTATGAAATAAGACCCGCGGGCATCTCCGAAGCCTCCTCCATATGCTGCTCTGTGTGTGTGTGTGTGTGTGTGTGTGTGTGTGTGTGTGTGTGTGTGTGGAGCAGATACGGCTGAGTCTATCAGGGACCGGTGGGAGGCAGATAAACCAAGAGCTTTTCAGTGCTTGGATGAGGAGAGAAAGAGAGAGGGAAATTAAAGTGTGTGCTCAGACTGCTGCATTGCAGACATACAGAAGAGACGACACACACACACACACGATGTTGTGTTCTGTAGCATCCAATCTGGCAACCCCACAAATCCTCCTCTTATGAAAGGAGGGATTCCACACCAATCTGGGCTGCATTCATTAATGCTGTTTTCACACTGCTACATACTGTGCTGAGTTTGAGGATTTGAGGTTTGCATAGAATCAGTGTTATTTTAGTATTATTTGTATACTGTTAGAGTATGTATTAATATTTTGAAATATCTTTTATTTTTATATTTATAGTTTTCATATTAGTAATTTTGTTATATGCTTTTGTCATTTTTTTAGCCTTATTTTTTTATTTCAGTTTTTAGTACTTTAGCTTAAACTCAGTTTCGAAACTTAAGTTTAGGTTTTTCATCTAATATTTATATTTAATTTTGTTTTAGTGTCTGTTAAAAACACTGCAGAACACACTGCATGTAATGCTGTATCCCACAATGCAGTGCACTCAACTTGTCTTTTTATTTCCAGCGAGACAAATGAATTTCAATGCAATTCAAAAGCAATTTCAACTGATTTTTTTTGTTCTAACATCTCCTCAACTCATTTTTCAATCCTACTATCAAATGAAGATATTTTATATTTTATTTTATTTTAATAGAAATCTTTTGTATGTCTTTACTGTCAATTTAATGTATCCTTGCTAAATAAAAATATTAATTTCTTTAAAAAAAAAAATCATACTGACCCCAAACTTTTAAACAATAATGTTCTGATTGGCTGTTATTTTATTTTATTTGAATAGAAATCTTTTATTTTATTTTATTTTTTTATTTTATTTTATTTTATTTTATTTATTTTATTTGTAACTGGCTGCCATTCATTGAATTATTCATATAATGCTATAAAGTCATTTGCCAATAAAATGTAGCGTACTATTTTTCAGTTAGCAGTACTCTAGTATTTCATTCTGAACCTGATTCATTGTGCTGTTTGTGTGTGTGTGTGTGTGTGTGTGTGTGTGCGTGTCTGCGTGTGTCAGGGCCGCGATACGTGGTGCAGATCGGAGACAAAGTCATCGACTATAACGAGGATTTCCGTCTGTTTCTGGCAACCCGTAACCCCAGTCCCTTCATCCCTCCTGACGCCAAGTCTGTCATCACAGAGGTGAACTTCACCACCACTAGAGCAGGACTGCGAGGACAGGTAACACCCGCACACTCACTTATCACAAACCAACTGCTCTGGCCCCATAAAGCTCATCATCATCACATATGTGCGTGTTCAGCTGCTAGCATTGACCATCCAGCAGGAGAAACCAGAGCTGGAGAGCGAAAAAACCAAGCTCCTGCAACAGGAAGAGGAGAAGAAGATTCAGCTCGCTCAGTTGGAGGAGTCGCTGCTGGAGGTACCGAGGCACCAATCCCAGAATGCTCTTTTACTGTAGTTTACTGGAGGTTTGTTCTCCATATACTGTGTTTTGTGTGTGTGTAGACTTTAGCGACCGCTCAAGGGAATATCCTGGAGAATAAGGAGCTGATTGAGTCTCTGAACCAGACTAAAGCCAGCAGCGCTCTGATCCAGCAATCACTGACTGAATCGCACCGCCTGCAGATGTCACTCGACCAGGTGATGCTGGGAAAGAGTGCGATTATGAACAAGATAGTAGGGATGAATGAAACAGCAGGTGGCACCAGTGTAACATCAGTCTCTCCGTGTGTCTGTAGGAAAGAGATGCGTACCTGCCTCTAGCCGAGACGGCCAGCAAGATGTACTTTGTGATCACGGATCTGTCCAAGATTAATAACATGTACAGATTCAGTCTGGCCTCGTTCCTGCGACTCTTCCACAGAGCGCTGCAGACCGAACAGGTGACGTGGAAGCACACACTCGTCACGCACTGACAAAATAATGAGTTAGTGAAGCTAACTGTGTGTGTGATGCAGGAAAGCGAGAGCACCGATGTAAGGATCTCCACGCTGGAGAGCCGTCTGAAGAACATGGTGTACGAGTATATCTGCCGCTCACTTTTCAAGGTAACACACACTGAACCCCTCATTACATTGTCATAGAGATGCCACCGCCCACCTAAAAACACCAGCACCAATCAGAGCCCTTGTTATGTTCCCATAGGAATGACTCTGCCCACTTAAAACCATACAGCATCGATCATCTTTTTGATGACAGGTTTTTGTAATGACCAGAGTAACGTGCTCTGAGCAAATGATTTGTTCACATGACTTGAGGTGCAAATCATGAACGAGCCTCCAGCACTGGCACTGTCTCATATTCATTCATTTATGCATTTGGCAGACACTTGTATCCAAAGTGATTTGCATTGCATTCAAGGTACACGTTTTCTCAGTTCATGCATTCCCTGGGAATCGAACCCGTGATCTTTGCTATGCTAGTGCTGTTCTCATCTAAAATGCTGAATCTGTGTGTGCGTTTACAGGCGGATCAGTTGATGTTTGCGCTGCACTTTGTATAAAATATAAAAAATATAAATACATTTTTATAAAATGAATAAATAAAGTTTAAAGTAATACATTTTAAATAAAATATAATAATATAGTAATATAATAAAAAATAATGAAAGTGACATAAAATTAAAATTATAAAATTAAAATGAAATATAAAAATAAAAGCTAATTTAAAATATTAATAAACACTATAATACTACATAGATATTGCTAAAAGTTTTGTATAACACTACATTTTACTATTATAAAATTATTTATTTAAAAAAGGCTGTTTGGAAAGCAGTTTTTTAGGGTTGCTTCATTTGCTAGCTGGCAGAATAACTTTGGATGTTAATTTCCTCATCATTATCCCTGCATATGCTAGTGCTGTTCTCATCTAAAATGCTGAATCTGTGTGTGCGTTTACAGGCGGATCAGTTGATGTTTGCGCTGCACTTTGTGAAGGGAATGAACCCAGAACTCTTCCAGGAGAACGTAAGTGTGTGTGAGCGCTAAACTCTCATAACCGATCCTGAATGAATGATGACGTTTCTATTTCGGGTCGTCTACAGCTACCCCAGCGGCTCTGACAAGACAAATGTGCTGTTATTAGTCCTGCCAGTAAAGCACAATGAAACCAAATCACTCGTGTTTGTTTGTGTCTCATGCAGGAATGGGACGTGTTCACTGGCCTGATCGTTGGAGACATGGTTCGCAAGACAGTATGAATGTCTTCAATCTTTTCTCCATAAAATAACACTCATCTCTTCTCTTCAGTTGTAGAAACTCTCTCTGTCTTTCCTCAGGACTCCCAGAAGTCTCTGCGAGAACAGTTTCCATCTTGGATTGATCAGGAGAGGCTGATAGCCGTGGCTCTGCTCAAGGTAATAAGGGCCTTATGATGTCCACAATGTGGAAAACGTGAACAGAATTGCAGAATAAAAATGTGGATTTGATGAATAAATCCAAATGAATAAATCCGGAGCTGCTCTGAGAGTCACTTCACCAGCATTTCACAATTTCATTTGAGAAAAGCTATCATCATATCACATACACACAGAAACTCAGGGCAGAAACTTCATGGCAACCCGCCAAAATAAAAGTTCAGTTTAACATGAAGAAATTGTGACAGAAATATATTACTATTGTGCAGAAGAATGTACTTCTCAAAGGAATAATAATAATAAATTAAAACTTTATTTTTTATAATGTATAATATTTAATATATTTTTATATTTTAATATATATATAAAATGAAAACAAAATATAATTAAATATAAATATATACACACATATTCGTTATACGTATATATATATATATATATATATATATAATATTTTATTTAGTTTTAATTTTAACAGTAAACCTCTGTTGTGCAGAATTGTTTGCCAAAATAAATTAAAATAAATTAATAAAAAAAAATAAAAAAAATTCCATT